AAAAGACGCTACTATGTCGATTGGCTGTATGTACATAATACTTATAGTTTCCGCAACTTGTTGCATACAAGCTCAGCATTATAAACAGTGTACAAATAAGAGAAGCAGGAAATAATTGAGCAAACGATTGTTATCAGTTATAAATTGTTACATGATAACATATTGAATCGTAATCATCGCGAAATATAGTCTTTTACATTATACAATAAGTAAGTTTTGTTGTAATCTTCAAGAGTTAAATATGTGTTAGTAAGAAAAATAAGAGTTTTAATATATAGAGTAGATTGTTTAGCGTAGATTGTATTTTTTAACATACATTTATATTTATTAAAGCAAACAATTTTATTAATAACGAATTTTTAAATAATTTTTATACTATTTTTGTGTATACATATATCTTAGAATAATTCTTAAAAATCATAATCGAGAATTTATGTATATAATAGACTCAATCAGAGTTTTCGGAAAAGGCAAATATGAAAAAGACGTGTTATATTTTTAAATAAGTGTTAACATTTGATATATATTATATTTTCGAGTTATTAAATTAAAATAGTATTTTCTTATTTTTTTTTTCTTCATATAAAATTAGATAATTAATTAACATATACATTTTAAAATTAATAGTTTACAATAAAATAAAATTATAATATATAATAAAATTGATAGTTTAACCGTATTATTTATCACAACAGATATATTTTGCCATCACGGTACTATAATTTGTACATTCCAAAAAACTTTTAAGAAATTAAAGTACGTAACATATTCAAATAAGCAACCGATGTATTAACCACTTATTGTATAAATATAGTATAAATTATACAACTTGTAAGCAAGTTTAGTAATAAATTTGCGTTACTTACGTCACCAAAAGTATTGAGAAACAGCTCGATAAGACTTGCGACGGTAAGTTTGACAGATGAATTGGACATAGCATTCACCAGTATAAAAGCGAGACTCTTTCTTCCTGGTAGACAATGCCAATCGAGATTTCTCCAACTTTTTTACACTGCTTACATAATTATCTTTTTTTTATTTTTTATATATTTATTAATATATTTGCACTTACATAAAAAATAGTTTATTTCTAAAATAGATTTAAAAAAGTCTATATTGAATTTTATATAACATTTATATAACATTTATCAATTATTATTGTAAAAGCTTTCGGTATGATATTTGTTTTATTGCAAGAATATATTAGCAAGATTTTTCTGAGATTTAACATTGTGCACTTCAAAAATACAAAATAATAATGAAAATTGTACCTGTTTGGTCACAAGTTTGCCAATGTAGCAAAATATAAAAACATTAAAATGTCAGGGAAAAGAGTAAAATAATCATTCTCGCGCCACATCATTAAAGAATATTTGATGGTTGCCATCAGACAAAAACTTAGTGGTCCAGAGAGTTATAAGGTATTGTATGTATTCTCAACTTCAAACACCATATAGATCGCAGAAGATATGAAAAGGAAGCCAATTAGACCGATGCAAAGTATAATACAATGTATATGTATATTATAAGTATAATACAATGTATATGTATATTCACCAACAGTGGCGCACTCAGGATATTTTTTCGAGGGGAGGGGGGGGGGGGTTAAAAGTTTCGACACACAAAATAAACAGTATGATTAAAAGTACAGGATAATTTATACTGCACACTGAAAAATATAAAAATGTTATATTGTTTAATAAAAAATACAATTTATTTTTATAGTAGCATAATTATAAATTGATATCGAGTTTTCTTAAATAATCAGATTAACTGAAATGCTTAAATAATCAGAAAATTTGTCTATATATATATACATATGTATGGCTGCTAGATGTTTCTTAAGTAACTTATTTAAATCCTTTCACAATATGAATATCTTAAAGTAGATATTATATACGTTCGAACAGCAGTATAGCTGGAGAAGCTATCATAATTATTTGTGTGCAAGGATATTGGCGTGAATTTTGAATTATTAAAATTGTGAGTATAGTTAATAACAGACAAAAAATACAAATGTTTGTAACGCATTTTATTTAACTACAGATTTTTTACTTTTTGCTGTTAAGTTAATAAAAAAATAAGGTATATTAATTAAATTTTGGAGGAGGGGGGGGTTAACCATGGGTGCGCCACTGTTCACCAACAAATACAAAAATTTTTCTATTGACAAAAAGCCAGCTGATTTTGGCCAAGCACCGATCGGTTTTAATATCCAGCGATCCAGCTGGATGCTTAGTTGCATATCCTTGTCGTAATCGTAAACAGTCTCGACAGGATTCGATTTCTGCATGACAATTCCATATATCTTGCAAGCAGAAGAACTCGGCAGTTATCGAAAGGTTTGCGTGAAAGCAAAAGCGTGGAAGTTAATGCGGCTGCGCCGTGGCATACAACTTCCCTTTCAGGAAAAGAGACTAGAAAACTAGTCAAGCGGACAGCACGTTGAAGGGTGCATTTTATAGTCATATTGACAATCCTAAGAAGATAAGGGAAAATTTGTGCACGACTTTTCCTCTTCCTGTAGTATGTATATCCGTCATTGTACATGATGTGCGTAAAGTTTTCTGCACGAATGACTTCCGAGTAACCGATAAAGATTGCAAGAGATTTCTTTTTTGAAATATTATTGAATATTAAATGGATATGCATAAAGTGCTTTATTTATATAGCTATGCAGAAATGTTGGATATGTCACATTCGTATATAGAATAGATCTACTGAAAATATCATATTTTGTTTCTCACAATTTAAAGCAATTACTATATGCAAGATGCAAAACAAAATATAGAAATTTTTAGATATGAGTTATTTAAAGAAATTTTAATGGTCGTATTATAAATTTACAGGAACAAGATTTATATATACAAAATATGAATTATATATATTGAGAATTTTATTTTATTAGGATTGTCTATATACAAAAAAAAATAAAAAAATAAAGATATATTTTCAATTATTTGAGAATCAAATAAGTCTCTTTACTTTTTCACTTTTTTTAGTAGAATATTACGAAATATTTATATTTTGCTATATAATATTTACATTGTCAGAGCTCGAAGCATATTTAAATACGTGACAGATGTTCTAATTACCTAAAATTTTTAACATAGATATAAAAATGTTGGAATAATTTAATATAAATATTGATTAACTTATATTTTTTGCATATTTTCAGCAATAAAAAAATATAATAAGATATGTTCTAATCATAGTCTTATAATTTTCATTATACTCACAACACCGAAAGTTGGAATAGACATATGAAATATTTTTCCAGCTGTGATTTTAATAACAGTTTTCGAGCGCAAAATTATTAAAATTAGACCAAGAACAGTTTTATGCGGCAAATAATACCAGTTTGTCATATAAGCTGCCTCCCCAACTTTTTTACACTGTCATAAAATTATCCATTACGTCAAGAGTAAATAAATAAAATAATCAGCAGAATAAATTCAAAAATCCATCAAACAAAGAATAAACATGTAAAAAGAATTTTTTTGGTTATAATCTTATGAATAAAAAGAAATAAAGACAAATACGTTACCTGCTCTGTCACAAGTTCACCGATGAAGCAGAATATGAAAATATTAAACATCATCCCTGTAAGTACCATAACATATGTTATTATAGTATTTATACTTTCCTCTTGCCATTCCTGAAACATAGGATATGTAAGTTGGAAGAATTTGAAATCAAAATAAAGATGAAAAAATCATATAAAATTTATCATATATTCACCTTCTCAAATTATTAGCGTACCGTAATGGTATAATATCCTAGCATACACAAGTTGAATGTACTTCCGACCAACTCCACGAAACATATTTGACGCATAATTGCCTCCATACGTGAGAGAAATCTGTAATTGGGACATCCAGTATATATAATTGTAATATTTAAGACATTTAATATTCTTATACAAATATTTTATAGAGATAAAAATTATAATTCTGTAAATATGTAATATATATCATGTTTACAAAAGGATGATAATTTTATATGTACACTATTAAACAAAAATTACGAGATCGCTTGTTTTAATTTATGAGATTACTATTTAAAATTGGCCTTATTTCTTGGCAAAAAACAAGTAATTCTCTAATTTTTTGAGAAATGTAGTTGTTCTTTATTACTAATATTCCATTTTATGAAAAGTCTATTTTCAAAGAAGTCAACTAAATGCCAGCGAAATTGTATAAAATGTGCGTGACTGTGTTATTCATTATCATAATTATTTGTGTGTATATAATTTTTAAGAATCGTCTTACTTCAACGCTCGCAAATGACGCTCCACGATGTCCATCAGTTTCAAGGACTGAAGGACTTCTCGTTTTTCATCGACGAGTTCTTCGAGGCGTAGTATCACCACGTTGAGCTGACCGCATGCGTGCATCGTGAAAACAGCGGCGAGACCGCATGCACTGACTGTAACATTATTCACCACAACGATCGAGAGGCACTGTAACACGAGCACGACCTCGTACACCGGACTGAATCTAGTATCCACGATTTTGTTGAAAGACGGACACGGTAAGCGACCTATCGTTATTGTCTCGTTGCCGATAGTCATGATTATCGGTGACAATCCTCTTGCCAGATTGTAGCAAAAAACACCACCTTGCATGATTAGCGCACAAACGCCCGCTATAACACGTCCCACTCTGGCGTTTCGTAACATCATTTTTCGATTGTGCTCCTTGTTTGCCAAACGCCAATCGAGTTCCATGTGCTCAATAGATCTGCCTATCCGATTGTTATGATACAAGAGCGAGCAGTAATTAATACCGCCCATGAGACAGTGGCTTGTCGGCCCTATTGCCTTGAGCTTCAAGCGGAAGTCTTTCTCTTCGAAGAATATATACAATATAGAAGGTATCACGGCGAAAGCTATTAAAGAATGACACATTATTCTCAGGACATTTATCAGGATATTTCTGGTCGTGGAGTGCGTCGATAATTCCGGCCAAGCACCTATCGGTTTCAAGAACCAGCGGTTCAGTTGAAGACTATAGTCACTATCTCGTTTATAAACCACAGAGCTGTCGGAGGCACGTTTCATGGTTGTTTCAATTCGCGGAAGGTACGTCAAGTACTGAAGACTTCTACCCCAGCTATGTCTCTTAACGCAGCAATAGTTACACTAGCGCTTGCGCGGACATATGAGAAGAGAGAAAAATTGTTGCACGATCTGTCTGAGACAGAACGCAATCGATACCTATAGTTCGCTGGACTTGTTGCATCAAATCGTAGTTTATATTTTATAAGTAATAGAGTCAGTAACATTTAAACGTGGCTGGATAACATGACAAACCAGCGAGTGCAGTAAAATCGACAGTTATAACTTTCTCTTTGATAATAAGTTAGTGTTGTCAATATTAACTGTATTAAATAGAAGTGTGATATTCTTTATTTTTGTGAATTTTACGTTATTAGTAGAATATTGTGTAACAAAATTTTAGAAGGGATAAAAAATACGCTTATTACAAAAATTAGTTACATCACTACATTGATTATTGATAAATTCAGTAAATTTACATTTAATTCTTTTTCGGCAACTTTTATGTATTTGATGTATGCATTTAATTTTTACATTGCAACTGTTCTGAGTATATTTAAATATGCAAACGATGTTTTCATTACCTGAAATAATCATAATTGGTAGATCTATGTTAATGGATTTACATATTTTGTTTTAATAATAGTTTTAAATCTTTGTGTAATAGCCAATAAATTTACATAAATGTTGCGATATATGACATTGAATCAACTAAAAAGAAATAGAAGTAATAAAGTGACGTATGGTTCTGTAATAAGAAAATTAACAGAAGAAAGATTATAAAAATCACAGTGCGGATGTCAGAACGCAAAACAACTATTTTTATTATCAAAAGATACAAAGTAATGAAATGTTTTGGTCCGACCGGACCTTTCGGACTTTCCTTAGAGTGTAATTACGTACAATCAATGTGCGGCAGAAACTCGGCGGCGTAACGTAATTCGGTTTTATACTGGAAGCGCTATCTAATCAGTGCGGACAAATTGCGCGGACAATCCGCGCGGATGCCCGGATCAGATTTGCTCTTTTACTCTAATTAACTAATTAGGTAAGCCGCCAGTATAAGGCTGAATCACGTTGCGCCGACGAGTCATTTCTTCACATTGTGCCATACGCATGATCACTTTATTGGTCACAATTTTACCAGATTGAGGAATGTCCAGAATTTAGTCAAAACGTTTCGATGCTTTGTATCTTTTGATAATAAAAAAAATTTTTTTACTCTTTGATATCTGCGTTGTAGTTTTTATAACCTTTCTTTTATTCATTTTTTTGTAATAGAGATTAAATTTTGAGATTAAAAATTGATAGAAGACTAGACAGATTATCTTTAAATTGAAGAAAAACTATTCATATATGTATATTGTATATAACAAGTTATCAAACAGACTTACATCTCCAAAAGTTGAAATAGATAGTTGAATCATTTTTCCGGCAGTTATCCTTATAACGGCATTCGACCTCGAAATTATGAGAATCAAATCAAGTGCAGTTTTATGGTGTAATCGATACCACTTTGTCATGTATACCATGTCGCCTATTTTTCGACACTATACAAATACTTGGTCTCTACATTTTTATGTCATAATTTCGTATAAAAATATTATAAACAAAAGGAGCGACTTAAAGGTATACACACATATGTATATAATGCAGCTACCTGTTCTGTGAGAATTTCAGCAATGTAACAAAAAATAAAAACGTTGCATGACATAGCTATAAATATGGTAGCATATGTAAGCAAGTTTTTGGTGTCGTGCAATTCCCATTCCTGTAAATAACACATATGCAAAAAAAAAAAAATATTTAAAAAGTCACTTAGAGCAATTTTAATATTGCTTAATAATGTTGCTGTTTGTCAAAAACAAATACTCGTAATATAATATCGAACGCACAAAATTTGCAGCTTTTACGGCTTCTTGGTATGAATTGTTAGCATACCGTAATCGTGTAATATCCTAGCATGCACATATCAGTCGTGCACCCCAACAACTCAATAAGACATATCTGATGCATAACAGTTTCTATTTGCGATACAAAACTGCAATTAAAGTGAAATGACAATTACTTTTTAGTTGCGCGGGACACGCATCGAATTCTTTTACAGATAGGAAATTTAATTGTGAAATCTTTTGTACAAATTAAAATTGTAAGATACTACAATAATTACTTCGAATAACACACTGACTGCTTAGATGTTTTATAGCTTGTGTATATTGTATTTGCATGTGCTAAATTTCAACGAAAATATATATTAAAATCATGCGAATTATTTACGTTTCAAGATTTAAAATGTACGTTATACCTCAGTACACGTAGGTGATGTTCCACAATAATAACTAGTTTCTGGTGCGTCGTCTCGCGCTTGTTTTCTGTTCCGTCGACGAGTTCGTCCAGTTTCATCACCAGGATGTTCAGCTGGCCGCAGGCGTGCATGGCAAAAACTGCGGCGAGGCTGCACGCGCCTACCGTAATGGAATTCACTATAATGGTAGAGAGCAACTGAAGTCCAAGCACGATCTCGTTCATCGGACTGTATCTGGCGTCCACCAGTTCCATGTAAAACGGACAGGGCAGTTGGTGCATCGTTATAGTGATATTGCCGATCTGCACGATCGCCGGCGTTACTGCGGTAATGACACTGTAGGAGCACACGCCGCCCTGCATGAAGACCGCGCAGAAAGTGGACACGAATCGGCCGAATTTCGCGTTTCTCAGCATCACTTCGCGATCGCACGTTCTCTCTACGGTTCGCCAATCGGCGCACATGTGGTTTATGCATTTACGTATCTCATAGCTACGTAATAATAACGAGCAGTAATTCGCGCCGCCCATCAGCCAGTGTATCATCGGGCCGAAAGCCTTCAGTTTCAGGTGTACATCTGGCTCGAATATAATGTACAATACGCAGGGGATCACCGTGAAAGCAATCAGTAAGTGACAAATTAATTGGATACTACGCGAAAGTATTTTTTCCGCGATATTGCTCGACGTGCTGGGCCAGGCGCCGATTGGCCTCAGGAACCAGCGATTCAACTGAATACTATATTCGCTATCTCGCTCGTATGCGATGTTACGTGTAGGAGACATGCGGAACGAGTGCGACATGATCGTGACACAAACGTTCGCAGACTATTGAGCGGTAAATGATGCGAAAAAAAAGAGATAGACTTTCAGCGCTTGCGCGTTTTTTCAGTTTTTTTTCCAAGAATATAGTTGCTTTGAGAGAAGAAGAGCTTTACGTTTCCGAATGATGAAAGGGTGGAAGCGATCGATATGTGTAGACTGTACAGATGTCTGGATGTACATTGTTGATTACTTTATGTGTAGTCATATTGTATATTCCACGCTGCTACTTAGTTAGTTAAATGCGCGATGAGAAGACGCGGAGAATATAGTATTATATAATATTATAAAAAAGATAACATCTTTTCTCAATTACAAAGTTGGGGATTTTCTCTGTTTTTGATTAGTGCACAATCTAATTTCACATTGCAATAAAATATATGACGTGAAAAAAAATTTTAGTAGAAAAGACACGAAAGAGTTGGATTTTTTAAGCAAATATTTTAATAAATCCGTAAGTTTTCTATTTATTAAACTCCATTCTGACATTTTACTTCTCTTTTTCTCGATATAAGATTAAGTAGTTATAATTGACATTTATACAATTAACAATTGTATCAATAATTTCCTCACTTCAGATTTTTATGTAGTTAATGTACGTAACATATTCAAGTAAGCGACCGATGTCTTAACTACCTAATGATAAATAAATGATATGTAGCTTGTGTTACTAGTAGATATACTTAATAAATACCAATATTGCGCTACTTACGTCACTAAATGTACTGAGAGATAGCTCGAAAAGATTTCCAGCAGTAAGTTTCACAGACGAATTAGCCATAGCGATTATTAATACAAGTGCGAGACCCTTTCTATCTGGTAAGCGATGCCAATCGATCATGTAAGACACCTCGCTGATCTTTTTGCACTGTTTATAGGATTATTTTTTAGATTTCTCTTATTTAATATAAAATGCTAATATGTTCACGCTTATATTAAAAGGAATCATTTTCTAAAATAATATTGTGCATTTTAAATCATATAATATTCAGTAATTATTGCAAGAAAATATTTTTTCTATTCTAAAAATATCCACAAAAGTTGTCACAGAGGTACAGAGAAATCCTTTGACAATAATAACTACTATTAATAGTTACCTGTTCGGTTACAAGTTCGCCAATGTAACAAAATATGAAAATATTAAACGTAAGAGATGTTAGTAGAACAATATATGTTATGAAACTCGCAGGTTCTTTACTTTCCCATTCCTGCAATGTAAAGATTTCCACATTCGAAAACACGTTATTGTAAATCGTACTTGCAAATTTTCAGTATTACGTGAAAGAAATGATGCGGTTTGCAGTACGTACTTTTTGTACGATATGCGTACCGTGATAGTAAAATATCCAAGAAAACACATGCTTAACGTACATCCTATCATTTCCACGAAAGATATTTCACGCAGTACTTTGTCCGTAAGCGATATAAAACTGTAAGACAGCGGTGACGTTAATGTGAGAAAAATTTCATTAAAAGAAAAATATGAGTCTTTGAACTCATTAAAAATAATCAGTAATTAATTAGAACACACAAACATAAAAATCAACATATTGATCTTTGTCAAGGATTAACTTACTGTAAAATTCGTACGTGCTGTTGAACAATCATCGTTACTCTCTCGTCCACGCTGGCGCAAAAATCTTCCCGTCCTTCTACCAAGTGGTCGATCCATTGCATCAGAACCTCCAAGCGGCCGTAAGCGTGCATTGCAAAGACAGCGGCTAAACTGCAAGCTCCGGTTGTGATGGAGTGTACGAGGAAACCTGATAGACATTGTATCCAAAAGAAAATCTCACTGATCGGACTATGTCGCGCGTCGATGATCACTCTGGCGACTGGATACACCAGTGGCCGATACGTCAAATTTCCGTCGTCCGTGACCGTTCCGTTGCTGAACGGCAAGGCGAGATACCAAAACAAAGCACCGCCGTACATAAAGAACGCGCATATCACCACGAGGCGTCGGCCGAATTTCGCATTTTTGATCATGATGGTTCGATCGCTATAATGTTGAGTATTCATCCAGTCACTCTTGATGTGTTCGATACCCTTCCGAATGTCGTTCTCGCGAAAGATTAGCGAAGAATACTTTATGACGGCCATCAGGCAGAAGTTCAACGGTCCGGTAAGCTTTAAGGTATTGTATGTATCCTCAACCTCGAGCACAACAAAGGCGGCGCAGGGTATGAAAAGGAAGCCGATCAGACCGATGCAGATTATATTTATCAACAAATACAACAATTTTTCTATCGAGGAAAGATTGGCTGATTTCGGCCAGGCACCAATCGGTTTTAATATCCAGCGATTCAGTTGGACGCTCAGCCGCATATTTTCTTCATGATCGTAGATATTTGCGACGGAGCTTGTCTTCTGCATAGCGATTCCGTTTATTATTGAAACTTAAGAGCTTGACTACTGATTGTAACTACTGATTGAGAGGATTGCGCGAAAGTTCGAACGCGGAAAATCGTCGCGACTGCGCCGTTCTGCGCAACTTCCCTTCCCGGAAAAAAACAATCAAACGTCAGGATACGAAGGGTGAAGTTTACAGACAAACTTTTGCGACTTCCGCAAGAGGGTTTAACTCTTGCTCGTTGGTTATTTTCTGCTCATGAATTATGAGCGCATGATCTACAGTCTTTCATGATTGTGAGATATTTTTTGCGAGTATTCAAAGAGAATCGTAAGTGTGTCTTTTTTGTCGAGTGATATTGTACAATGCGATATGCGTTTATGATATTTTATATGCACATATAAATATGTATATACATATGTATATACATTAGGGCGAGTCAAATGAAAACCTTAAATATTTTTTTGTCACAATTTATTGAACAAAAGTGGTCCACATTTGTATAATTTTTTTATGCGGTCTTCATTGTGTTCAATACAAGTTTTCCAGCGCTTAATGCACAAAGCGCATGGATTCCTGTAGAAAAAAATTCTTTTGGTCACGTGCGCAACCACTCATGCACCGTCGAGGAGAGTCTGGAACTCACACCGTTTCGGAATTTCCTAGTTTATTTGTACATTTGCTGAAGTGACAGACATACATCATCATACTGCAACTTTATTCGACGATGAATTTCAATAGGTTTCACGCCTTCACTACTCAAAAAATAGATCGCTGCTTCTATTTGGTATATGTCTCAAGTGGGATGGCCATCTTTACACCGCTACTGTGAAATAATGTTGCTTGTCTACACTGTGCTGTTACTGTGCTGTCACAGGACACTCCTTTAATCATTGGTAACAAGACTGCCAACTTACAGAACAATGGCACGTTGTTTCGTGATTTTTATTGCAATTTTAAGGTTTTCATTTGACTTTCCCTAATATACATATATATTAAACATTTACATATAAGATATATAAGAATAAAAATGTAATTAAAATATTGTTGCGTACCCTAAATTACGCGCCGTTTATCTTTGTTGTGTTGTTATAGCAACATCGATTAACGAACTATTTGTTAGTTTGTAAAAGAGTTGTAATAAATTAAATGTTATGTGTGTTAATGTTACCATAGAAACTAACTAATGTTTATTAAATTATCGATTTTTTCTGACTATCAGAATTATGCTAGCTGTCAGTGTGCGGACGCGTATCTGACAGCTCCGGCATATGGTATTCTTTTCCTTGTTATGTTTGTGTTATTCGTTCAGTGTTTAACAATTAAAGTGTTTAAGAGTCTAAATTGGTGTTCAGTTGTACTTGTGTGTTATGTAATTATCGTTCGGGCGATCTCGGACTGTTGATTTCGACACGCGGACGTAACAATATGTTTCCTAAAAGAAATGCATAATTGTCACATTTGGCAATAAAATAAAAACGTGTTCTTATTTATATAATGTAACATAAAGAAAATTTTTAAGTCATATATAAGAAATTGACGTTAGTGTGGAAGAAAGAAATTTCTTGATTTATTGATTATGAATTATTTGTCTTTTTTAATATAGACCGTCATATAATAATAACCAAGAAAACATATGTTCAGAGTACACATCCCACAACTTCTATGAGGGATAGTTCGTGTAGCAATTCCTCGATTAGCGCAATGAAGCTAAAACGTGGAAAACAAGCAAATAATTATAATTCTTTTTTATAAGATATTTTGCCGCGTAATATTTCTATTCGATTAAAACATTGCTTACTAATTATTTAAATATAACGTGTGTTTAGTTTGTTTTAATATTGCGTAATACTGTTTCAAAATTGCCAATGTTGTAATAAAATATTATTATTAAACATTTTAAAATAATATCAAAATCTATTTTACAGTCAAAAATTTTTATGATTGAAAATTTTGAGGAAAAATTACATTTTTGACAAACACTACATATAGGTACATAATAGCCAACGGTTTTATAACATAAAATGATAAATGGAGTAAAAAAGGCAATAAGGACCAAACGCATAAGTGTCAGTGCGCAAAAAACAATTTATTATTAATAAAAATACAAGATTTGACAAAATGAAAGTGTTTTTTGCGTACTGACACCCGCGCGTTTGGTTCTTATTGCCTTTTTTACTCCGTTAATACATATGAAATATTTCAGCTTTAATCCAAAGTCAGACTTACTTTAAAATGCGTACATGTAGTTCAATGATATTTGCCAATTTCTCGTCCATAGTGTCATTAATATCCTCTCGACCGTCGACCAAATAGTTCAGCCAAGACATGAGCACCTGCAACTGTCCGCAAGCGTGCATTGCGAGAAGAGCTGCCAAACCGCACGCTGCCACCGTGATGTTATGGGCAACGAAGCCAGACAATAGCTGGATGAAATAAAAGATTTTGTTAATGGGACTTCGACGAGCGTCAGCAAGCACTTTAGGCACCGGGTACACCAATCTGCGGTAAGTCAGATTTCCATCCTCTTCAACGATCTTGGCGCGTGTGAGCGGCACCGCCACGTAATAAAATAGGACGCCGCCGTACATGAAGATACCGCAGATAACCACCAGCCGACGACCAAAATTCGCATTCTTCAACATGATTTTTCGGTCCTCCGTATGTTTCACGTTTTTCCAGTCGCCCGCGATGTACTCAACGCACCTGCGGATGTTGTCCTCGCGTAGAATTAAGGCACAGTACTTTATCACGGCCGTCATAAAGAAACTTAAAGCACTGCCGAGCTTTAGCTGGCTGTAAAAGTCCTTGATCTCCAAGACGATGTACATGCCGCAGGGGATCAAAATTAAGGCTAGTAGTCTATTGCAGGTTATATTCGACACTCTGTACCACAGTGTCTCGAACCAGGAGTGTCCTAAAGACTTCGGCCAAGTGCCGATCGGCTTCAAGGTCCAGACGTTTAATTGCATGCTGACTTGAAGATCATTTTTAAAATTTCGGTTGTGAAGCTCGGGTTTGTTGTTAGCATCAGAATAATGGGATGGGCTCTCTATTATCGCGATACGAATGACTGATGTATACTGACGGTCGCAAAGCTTCGCGCTACTATGATTTGCGCTTGCGCTACTTTCCGGATTTCCTATAGAAAAAATTCTACGCAGAACAAAGTTGCGGCGATCGCAACAAAGTTTGCGTGACTGCTATAAAACTGTACGTAGTGTTTCAAGCATCAGGTTTTTTCTACAGGTTTTTACATGCGCATTTTATAATAGCCGTCGCGTTGACAAACGCGAGGGAAAAAGCATTGTGATATATTTAGAATAAATCTCGTTTTAGAAAATCGTTAAAAAAAATGTCATATAAGACTGGCATACTTAATTAGTGCACAATCTAATTTTGCAATTAAATATATTGCAATTAAATATATGACGTGAAAAGAAATTTAGTAGAAAAGACACAAAACAGTTGGATTTTTTAAGCAAATATTTTGATAAATCCGTAAGTTTTCTATTTATTAAACTCTATTCTTACATTTTACTTCCCTTTTTTCCGATATAAGATCAAGTAGTTATAATTGACATTTATACAATTAACAATTGTATCAATAATTTCTTCACTTCAGATTTTTATGTAGTTAGAGTACGTAACATATTCAAGTAACCGACCGATGTCTTAACTACCTAATGTTAAATAAATGATATGTAGCTTGTGCTACTAGTAGATATACTTAATAAATACCAATATTGCGCTACTTACGTCACCAAATGTACTGAGAGATAGCTCGAAAAGATTTCCAGCAGTAAGTTTCACAGACGAATTAGCCATAGCGATCATCAATACAAGTGCGAGACCCTTTTTTCCTGGTAAGCGATGCCAATCGATCATGTAAGACACCTCGCCGATCTTTTTGCACTGTTTATAGGATTATTTTTCAGATTTCTCTTATTTAATAAAAAATGCTAATATGTTCACGATTATATTAAAAGGAGTCATTTTCTAAAATAATATTGTGCATTTTAAATCATATAATATTCAGTAATTATTGCAAGAAAATATTTTTTCTATTCTAAAAATATCCACAAAAGTTGTCACAGAAGTACAGAGAAATTTTTTGACAATAATAACTACTATCAATAGTTACCTGTTCGGTTACAAGTTCGCCAATGTAACAAAATATGAAAATATTAAACGTAAGAGATATTAGTAGAACAATATATGTTATGTAACTCGCAGGTTCTTTACTTTCCCATTCCTGCAACGTAAAGATTTCCACATTCTAAAACGCGTTATTGTAAATCGTACTTGCAAATTTTCAATATTACTTGAAAGTAATGATGCGGTTTGCAGTACGTACTTTTTGTACGATATGCGTACCATGATAGTATAATATCCAAGAAAACACATGTTTAACGTACATCCTACAATTTCCACGAGAGATATTTCGCGCAGTACTTTGTCCGTAAGCGATATAAAACTGTAAGACAGCGGTGACGTTAATGTGAGAAAAATTTTATTAAAAGAAAAATATGAGTCTTTGAACTCATTAAAAATAATCAGTAATTAATTAGAACACACAAACATAAAAATCAACATATTGATCTTTGTCAAGGATTAACTTACTGTAAAATTCGTACGTGCTGTTGAACAATCATCGTTAATCTCTCGTCCACGCTGGCGCAAAAATCTTCCCGTCCTTCTACCAAGTGGTCGATCCATTGCATCAGAACCTCCAAGCGGCCGTAAGCGTGCATTGCAAAGACAGCGGCTAAACTGCAAGCTCCGGTTGTGATGGAGTGTGCGATGAAACCTGATAGACATTGTAACCAAAAGAAAATCTCACTGATCGGACTATGTCGCGCGTCGACGATCACTCTGGCGACTGGATACACCAGTGGCCGATACGTCAAATTTTCGTCGTCCGTGACCGTTCCGTTGCCGAACGGCATGGCGAGATAATAAAACACAGCACCGCCGTACATAAAGAACGCGCATATCATCACGAGGCGTCGGCCGAACTTTGCATTCTTGATCATGATGGTTCGGTCACTATAATGTCGAGTATTCATCCAGTCACTCTCGATGTGTTCGATACCTTTACGAATGTCGTTCTCGCGAAAGATTAGTGAAGAATACTTTATGACGGCCATCAGGCAGAAACTCAACGGTCCGGAAAGCTTTAAGGTATTGTACGTATCCTCGACCTCGAGCACAATAAAGGCGGCGCAGGGTATGAAAAGGAAGCCGATCAGACCGGTGCAAATTATATTTATCAACAAATACAACAATTTTTCTATCGAGGAAAGATTGGCTGATTTCGGCCAGGCACCAATCGGTTTTAATATCCAGCGATTCAGCTGGACGCTCAGCCGCATATCTTCTTCATGATCGTAGATATTTGCGACGAAGCTTGTCTTCTGCATAGCGATTCCGTTTATTATTGAAACTTAACAGCTTGACTACTGATTGCGACTACTGATTGAGAGGATTGCGCGAGAGTTCGAACGCGGAAAATCAAACGTCGCGACTGCGCCGTTCTGCGCAACTTCCCTTCCCGGAAAGAAACGATCAAACGTCAGGATACGAAGGGTGAAGTTTACAGACAAACTTTTGTGACTTCCGCAAGAGAGTTAAGTTTAACTTTTGCTCGCTGATCATTTTCTGTTCATGAATTATGAGCGCATGATCTGCATTCTTTCATGATTGTGAGATATTTTCCGCGAGTATTCAAAGAGAATCGGAAGTGTGTATTTTTTGCGAGTGATATTGTACAATGCGATATGCACTTATGATATTTTATGTACACGGGGAAAATTTTATATAAAAAATTATTATGTACGGTAGTAGCCGCGGACCATGAAAGAATTATAAAAATTTTTACTATGTTTTTCGCATGTGACACAATATAAAAATATTGAAAGTAAAAGATACGAGCATTATGGCATATGTTAAAAAGGAAAGTGCATCATTTCGTTCCCATCTATAAAATATTATTATGCATATGTAAATATATATTAAAAAATACAAGAAAATTTATTTTACTACTCTTTTTTTAAAGAAATTTAATATATGAATCATGAATTGGTAATATAAGAAATTGATTAATAATGAATTATATTCTCATACCGTTATTACATAATATCCTAAGAGGCATAATATTAAAGTGCTTCCAATAAGTTCTATAAAACACATTTCTCCTACAACATCTTGTATCTGATTTAAAAATCTAAAATTAGATAATAATTGTTATAATTTGCAATATTACACTAAAAATTTTATTTACAAAATTATATAAATCATTATTTACAAATCATGTAAATCAATAGATTACTTGTAAAAAACAAATATTTCAATTTTTCTGTACTTAATATTTAATAATACGACTCTTACGAAGCTGATTTTAAAAAGCATTAAAATGTTTTAATTAATTAACAATAATCAACCAATTTTAATGTAATATTTATGTAGTATGAAGCAAATTGCAAGCAAAAAAAAATTTAGTAACAAATTTATAAAAAATGAATAATATTTTTAGCTACTCACCTACGCACCCTCACGTGATGTGCGATGATCAGCGCCAGTCTTGCATGAGTGGAATATTCCTTGGACCAATGATTTTCGTTTGCTAAATTTTCCAACCAAGTCACCAGCATTTCAAGTTGTCCGCAAGCGTGCATGGTGAATAACGCGGTGACCCCGCAAACACTGGCCGTCACAATATATATTGCGATACCGGTCAATAGATGCAACGAGAATATGATCTCATAGGCAGGACTGTGCTGTGGATCGAAGAAGATATAGTAATTACCCTGCACCAACGGTCTGATCGTAACGTTTTTGTTAACGACAATTTTGCGCGAACAATCGGCTGAATGAAATAATAAGTGAAACCGCTGGTAAACAGGAACAATATAGTGCAGATGAGAATAAAACGCCCGCTTCTTGCTTTATCCAACATAATCTTACGATCGTTTACATTTCTGACATTTTGTTAGTCTTCCTTCACGTGTTTCACGCATTCTCTAATGCGATTTTGTCGCAACATCAATGTGCAGTACATGGCTGGCACCATACTGTAAAAACAAAGTGCGCCAAACATCCTGAGTCTTTTATTAAACGTGTCCACGATTACAAACATGTATAACGCCCACGGTATTAGATTAAAGGACAACAGAAAGCAACAGGCAGCTCTGAGGAGCCCTTCGAGTAATCTTTTCTGGCACCGGGATTGTTTCTCTAGCATCGGCCATACGCCAATAAATCCCATGATTACTTTGTGTACTCGTACGGTGTACTTTATATCAGCTTTATAATTGGAATTGTATAAATTCACACGATCGATCATGGCATTTACTTCAACAAACGAGGCTAAACGAATTTTTTCGATCACTTGTTCGCGAAACGGTTGCGCGATTCGACTGACCGACGAAAAAACTTTGCAGTTACATTATGCACGCTGTTGCGTCTGCGTGGGTGAATCATCTTTTCCATGGTGATTTGTCCACGGCGCAGTTAAAAGTTCGGTACGAGAGTTTACGCGAAACTGTGTGCGATTTTTTGTCGGTCGAAGATAATTACAGGGTAGAATCGATTTACATGGAACAGTTTTCGAAACTTTTACAAAAGTACGGGCAAATCACCTTCCGTACAGCCATAGGTCATGGATCGGATCATTTGTATAATAAAATAATAGTAACATATAAATTAATCGAAAGTTGTCGTTAAAAAATTTACATATAAAAATTACATAAAAATAACTATTTAAAAAACTTTTTTAAATACAATTGTAACTTCTTAGTATTGTATATTTTTTCACTTTTAATTACTGCATTGATATATTTATCTCAACGTTTTATAAATTTAAAAATTTGTTTACAGTAAATTTTGAATAAACAAACTGCGATTTAGTTTTAAAAACAGATTAAAAGAATAAATTTTTGAGAAATGCCAGAAAAAGAAAATTACAACTTAACTTACAATTTTTGAAGAAATATTTTATTATTTATAAAAAGATAATTTTAGAATCAAGATAGAAATGATTTGTTTTTTAATTGCCCACATTATATTTTAAAAATAGTGTCAATTACAGATAAATGCACTAATATATTGTTATGTTAATCCAGAAAGATATTCGTTCAATAAACGTACAAAATCATGTAAATTTTCGGAGTAAATTGAAGTATGTCAATGATGTTTTGATGATCTACAAAATAAAATAAAGCATATATCGCACACCCGTAAGAAAAATGACACACGTCGAAATTTTTCGAATTTTGTTTTATGTGTGGATTATGTTCTAAATACATCGGTCTTGAATAAAAAAGAATGATAAAAGTTGAATACAAATACTTTCCGCGTGAGTCCGCTATGTTTAATATTGCCGCAAATAATTAATTTTAAAATTATTGTTTAACCAAGAAGGAACATGTGAAATTATTTTCCGCAAAATCAAGCTTGCTTCAGACGATTTATAATTTGCGCCAGGATTTGAGATAAAAATCAATTTATAATTATTAATAGCAAACGTTATTATTAACGCAATTCCTTCTTGAACGTCTATTAGTGACTTGTTAGACGATTATTTTGATAATCTATATACGAGTTACGTACACTCAACAATAGGAATACCTTAAACATACAAATTTAACACATATCGGAACATATATGCGTTTTTTATACCCAGTGAGAATCGACATGTCGGAAAGGCGGATATTAGACGTCTATGCCTTCTATGGTTGAAATTGGTATCCAAATTAAACCTCTTTTAAACTAGTCAAAAATTTTGTTTTTATTGATTGTAACGATGTTTTTTTCGCAAATTTGTAATTTGTATCATAATATAAAACAGAATTTAAGAATAGAAACGAAAAAAGGTTGACGTCGAATAGACGTCGATTCGACGTCTTTGCATCCAATCATTTCATACATAGCTAATATACCACAATTATATATAAAGGAATGTATATATAACTATTATATAAATGTTTATATTAATTATAAAATGACTGGTTAAAAAGACGTCAAATCGACATCTGTTCGACGTAAATTTTTGTTTTGTTTAATCTTAAATTCTGTTTTATATTATGATACAGGTTACAAATTTGCGAAAAAGACATTGTTACAATCAATAGAAGCAAAATTTATGTAAAAATATTAATATTAATATTAACGATAAGTTCGTGTGCTTGTGTGATTCAATACTAGCTTTGTGAAATAAAAGTGTTCTTATGGTCTAAAAGTGCTTTTGTCAACTAAAAAGCCTTTGTCGTCTAGATTTTTATAAAATTGATTCAGTTTTGTAAAATTGATTAATCTCTCTGAAAGTGATTTATTTTCTCTCGCGGCCACCATTCATTGTTTTAAAGAAGATCATTTCATATCATATCGATCTTACTTCCTTTCTTTTCACCGTGCTTTTTGTTTGGAAAAAAGGTTGCTGACGCGACCTAAAGGTCGAAGCACAAACATATTTTTATGTGTAAGTACAACAATTAATCTTATTATTCTTTTTTCTCAAATCTGTTTATAAATAAATATTCATACATACGTACGTATTATGTTGGTGCAAATAAAATGGCCATTTTTTAATTTAAACTTTAGACTTTTATTTGACAAACTTAAAACTTGTTTTATTAATCGAAATAGTCTCCATCTACTTCAATGCACTTTTGCCAACGTGATACAAATGCATTAATGCCATTCTTAAAGAAATCTGAAGAACGAGAGTCGATGAATTCGTGGAATGTATTTTTTACAAGTCTTTTTTCTTGAAAAATTTTCCCAGTTAAAAACCCATCCAGATGCTTAAATAGATGGTAATCTGTTGGTGAAATGTCTGGAGAATAAGAAGGATGAGGAAGAACTTCGAACTTCAACTCGTCTAGTTTTTTTACGGTTTTTTTCGCAATGTGCGGTTTAGTATTATCGTGAAGCAACAACGCACCGTGTCTATTGACTAATGCCGGCTGTTGAGCGCGCAGTTTTTGATACATGATGTCAATTTCTTGGCAGTATTTATCAGCATTTATAGCCTCACCTTGTTTAAGAAACGAATAATGTACGATGCCTTTACTTGACCACACAGACACCATAATCTTCTTTGGATAAAGGTTCGGTTTTGGCATGTGTTTCGGAGGCTCATTCGCATCTAACCACTGTGCAGAACGTCGACGGTTGTCGTAAAGCATCTACTTTTCATCGCACGTCACTATTCTGTGCAATATTCCATCATTATTTTGTCGAGAAAGCAAAGAAGTGCAGATTTCTAAACGTTTCATCTTGTCCTTTTCTGTCAGTTACGAAATGAAGGAAAGAAAAGAAGTTTCTAGAAAGAAGAAAGGATGAGAGAAAAATATCAGAGCGCGTTTTCTCTCATTCTTCCTTCTTTCTAGAAACTTCCTTTCTTTCCTTTACTTCGTACATTTAGATTCTCGAAAATGAGATCAATGTATGTAATGTTCGAACACTTTAGTATCTCGAATTCGAGATTGTGTACATTTTAATAATGTCTCTAGTAGACAAAAATCAATTTTCTGTATGAAAAAATATTAACAATCCTCGCATTAAACGAATTTCTTTATTTTCCATGTTGCCTTTAATGCGAACTTTAATAATTAATACTGTAGTAAATAAGTAAAATTATGTATACAATTTCACACTTAAGACATATATTTTTCAAATGATATACATACAGCGCTATCTGAGTAAAGAAAAATGAAATACAAAGGCGGAAAGTTTAAAATACGAAAAACGGCCATTCATTTGCACCAACCTAATATATTTTGGTTCAAAATTTATAATAATTATGTGTATATATACGTGACATTAAAAGATATTTTAATTCAATAATATTGTCTTAAATTTATTCAATAACTGTTATTTATGGACATACAAGTAAGTAAAAATTTATGCGTGTATATGATACCATTTGAAAGTATATTTAAAAATAGCGGAGGTATTATGAAATAGTTAATAATAGTTTGAACAATGCAATATTATATGTTTAATTTGTTTAATTGAACATCATTCGATGAATACTACTATAATTTGAATTGTATTTCTTCAAGTCGTTAACGTTCGTAGTATGTTTAAATATGCAACAGATGATTTAATAACCTATTTTTTAAGATAATTGTATTACTATAATAGTTATAATCAACTTTAATATATTAATTGCAAAATGTACTAACTTTTCTATTTTATTACATATTTTATAATGCTTTTTTAATAAATTACACAAATAATTTAAAATATTAATATTAACTATACATTTATAATTGTGATGGTATAAAATATACTTACGTTGCCGAAGCTGCTAACAGACAGTTCGATTATATTTCCGGCAGTAAGTCTGGTGGTTGCATCAGACATACAGATTATTAAGATGATAGCAAGACTCTTTCTTTCTGGTAGGCGGTGCCAATCGATCATGTATGAGCTCTCACGTACTTTCATGGTCTGTTATAACATTTCTTGTCACAATTCTCTTATAAATAACTATCACAAAAATTATCTTAAGTTATTTGATGTTATTAATTGTTATTTGAAAGAATTGCATATTATTTTAATAATATTATAAAAACTAATATGGAAAGTAAAGGATGTACCTGTTCCGTTAAGAGTTCACCTATGTAACAGAACATAAATATGTTGAATGTAAGCGAGACGAGAAGTATCACATATGTTAAGCCACTAACCGGCTGCTGAAAGTTCCATTCCTATAATGTACAATATGTATAATATTTGTGATTGGCAAATGACGATAACAAATATGTGATCTAACAAAATTGTTATTTTCTGTGACATATGACGCATAAAAATACAACATATAAAATTTTTATTAAATAAATATATATCCATCGTACCATCATACAATGATAACCAAGAAAACATATGTTCATAGTACTTCCCACAACTTCTATGAGGGATATTTCGTGTAGCAATTCCTCGGTTTGCGCAATGAAGCTAAAACGCGGAAAACAAGCAAATAATTATAATTCTTCTTTATAAGATATTTTGCCGCGTAATATTTCTATTTGATTAAAACATTGCTTAGTAATTATATAAATATTACGTGTGTTTAGTTTGTTTTAATATTGTGTAATACTGCTACAAAATTGCCAATGTTGTAATAAAATCTTATTATTAAACACTTTAAACTAATATCAAAATCTATTTTACAGTCAAAAATTTTTTATGATTGAAAATTTTGAGGAAAAATTAAATTTTTGACAAACAATACATATAGGTACAGAATAGCCAACGGTTTTATAACAATAAAATGATAAATGGAGTAGAAAAAGCAATAAGGACCAAACGCATAAGTGTCAGTGCGCAAAAAACAATTTATTATTAATAAAAATACAAGATTTGACAAAAGGAAAGTGTTTTTCGCATACTGATACCCGCGCGTTTCGTTCTCATTGCTTTTTTTACTCCGTTAATACATATGAAATATTTCAGCTTTAATCCAAAGTCAGACTTACTTTAAAATGCGTACATGTAGTTCAATGATATTTGCCAATCTCTCGTCCACAGTGTCATTAATACCTTCTCGACCGTCAACCAAATGGTTCAGCCAAGATATGAGCACCTGCAACTGTCCGCAAGCGTGCATCGCGAGGAGAGCTGCCAAACCGCACGCTGCCACCGTGATGTTATGGGCAACGAAGCCAGACAATAGCTGGATGAAATAAAAGATTTCGTTAATGGGACTTCGACGAGCGTCAACAAGCACTTTAGGCACCGGGTACACCAATCTGCGGTAAGTCAGATTTCCATCTTCTTCAACGATCTTGGCGCGTGTGAACGGCACTGCCACGTAATAAAATAGGACGGCGCCGTACATGAAGATACCGCAGATGACTATCAGCCGACGACCGATATTCGCATTCTTCAACATGATTTTTCGATCCTCCGTATATTTCACGTTTTTCCAGTCGCCCTCGATGTACTCGACGCATCTGCGGAGGTCGTTCTCGCGTAGAATAAAGGCACAGTACTTCATCACAGCCGTCATAAAGAAACTGAGAGCACTGCCGAGCTTTAGCTGGCTGTAAAAGTCTTTCATCTCCAAGACCATGTACATGCCGCCGGGGATCAAAATTAAGACTAGCAGTCCATAGCAGGTTATATTCGACACTCTGCACCATAGTGTCTCGAGCCGGGAGTGTCCTAAAGACTTCGGCCAAGTACCGATCGGCTTCAAAGTCCAGACGTTTAATTGCATGCTGACTTGAAGATCATTTTTAAAATTTCGGTTGTGAAGCTCGGGTTTGTTGTAAGCATCAGAATAATGGGATGGGCTCTCCATTATCGCGATACGAATGACTGATGTATACTGACGGTCGCAATGCTTTGCGCTGCTATGATTTGCGCTTGCGCTACTTTCCGGATTTCCTATAGAAAAAATTCTACGCAGAACAAAGTTGCGGCGATTGCAACAAAGTTTGCGTGATTGCTATAAAACGGTGCGTAGTGTTTCAAGCATCAGGTTTTTTCTACAGGTTTTTACATGCGCATTTTATAATAGCCGTCGCGTTGGCAAACGCGAGGGAAAAAGCATTGTGATATATTTAGAATGAATCTTGTTTTAGAAAATCGTTAAAAAAGAATCATACAAGACTGGCATACACACACAATCGCACGCTTTGATCTGTACATTGTGTTCAGTAAGTAGGAGAATATCCATCGTTGATAGCACATTGTGTTTCGAAGGAATTGGTAGAATATGTTACAAAGGTGTATTTAAAAATTGTTCTAGATTAACATGTAATTATTTTACTAATGTAATTTTTTACTAATAATTCAAGTCTTACGTTTATTATAAGTGAAAAAATATTAATGTTCTAAAATGGTAACATCTCTGAAAAACAAAGACAACATTACATGTAAGTACTATTTAAAATTTTTAAATTACAGATATTTATTTTGTATAACATAATAAAAATTTTTCCATGTATGATGTAATTTGAGCTATTATAAAGTGACCGTTCGGAGCAAGTTCAAATAAGCCATTGCAGTTCTAACAACCTAAAATTTAAATAAAAATTATATGTTTTAAATACATGTTATAATTATGCATGTTATATTAAGCTGATGTTTTTGCAATAAAATGCTATATTTTCAAATAAAATTCTTGTAAAATGTCAGTTAAATATTATTTTATTATAAAAGCTATTTTTCGTTATCATATATTTCAGGTAAAATATATATAATAATGTTGCTTACGGTGCCAAAGCTGCTAAATGAAAGATCGATTACTTTATTTGCTGTAAGCTTTGTAGGATAACTGGCCATCGCGATAACTAGGATAAGATAACGAGCTTCTTTACTAGGCAGACAATACCAATCAGTTGTGCAGCAAGTTATATTTACTTTACTCCCCTATTGTACAAAGTGTAATGAGTGTATGTATTATTATAAATATATATTATAACTACAATTTAATAATTTATTTTATATGTATTATTTATATAATTTATATATTTTATTTTATTTTATAACATATATTTTTTCGGGAAATATTTTTTTATACATCTATTCACACACACACACGCGCGCGCGCGCACACACACACACACACACACACACATATACATATACAGGGTGTCTGTCATAACGTGTCTCACCGAAAAGATATAAGTAGATCTCGTTGTTCTGAACAAAAAAATCCTACACCATTTTGCAAACAACCACGTAAAATTTCGAGTAATTAATTAAAACAGGTTGGCCAATAAGCGCGCGATTGGACAGTGGGCTGACCGTAGCGGCGGTGGCGATAACGCGCGCCGTTGTTGACACATCTGGGCGTACGGCCCATCGCCTGCCCGAACGCGCGACTGCTGCTCGCAACGAATCGGGCGAAAGACGGCACAAAAAGGCGATGCATAAACAATAACTTTTCGTCTCGCGCGCGCTGTCGTGTCCGAGATCGCGCGCTTATTGGCCAATCTTTTTTAATTAATTATTCGAAATTTTATGTGGTTGTTTGCAAAATGTATAGGACTTTTTTGTTTAGAATAATAAGATCTACTTGTATCTTTCCGGTGAGATGCGTTATGACAGACACCCGGTATATAAACCAGCAGATCAGATATATATCAGATATACAGGGTGTCCCTAATATTTTGACAAAGCGCTCGTGTGTAGAGCGGACTAAATTGAGTCGAAAAATCCTGTACCATTTTGCAATTTTTGCAGCGAGTTATTAATTACTTAACGAGTTATTAATTACTAAAGATCGCCGAATAAGCGCGTATCCGTCCAC